ATGTAAGCCCATAGTATATACAATATTAGAATGTTCGCGGGAGCGGGACACACACGTTGTGGGAGCAGGCGGTAATAGTCAGAAATTCAGCTGGAGCGGGCTTAAGAAAACTCCCGCTCAGGGCTCTAGGCTGCGCATCAACACACACGCTAAGTTTTTTTCCGCGTTACCCCATCTCCACCCCCAATCATTAGTGCCGTTTCGTTCTTTGACAGAACATATAGGACAATTTTTGAAATAGCGCCATAAACAAAATTTATTTCAAATTTAATTCAAGCACTTTCAAGGACCTATGTTTGTTTTCAAGTACTTTCCAGGCCTTGAATCCATATGTCTGAAATTCAAGTACTTTCAAGTACTTTCAAGAAGCGTGGGAACCCTGAGTAATTATTAAACATATAACATTTTTATAGTACATTATAATTTAGTTAACGTAATGATATTAAATATTAAACAATCTTACTAATCCCAAACTTTTGAACAGTGGTGTATATTCAAATGTCAACAAAATCAGCTACTGATTAATTTAAAAAAGTCAAGGAATGCCTTTCAGCATCTTGATTTTAGGTTCACATACAGTTTTACATGGAGAATATATATATATATATCTATATATCAAATCACTGTGTTTTATATATATATATATATATATATATATATATAAAACATAATGATTTAATATATAATCATTTAATTTAAATAGTATAAATATTTTTCCTTTTTTCTTTAGATTTTGGGGTCAAATATGTCACAAAATAACCTAGAAAGCTAGAAAGGAACTTTTATTATTATTATTTTTTTAAAGCTTTATTTATGAGTTTTAGGACAGAAAGGAACTTTTATTAATGCTATTTTAAATAAATAAATACATACAGACATACATATAATTTTGTTGCATTATAGAAATGAAAAAAACTTGCCCAATTTTCATGAACAAGATTTTTTTTCATGTTAAAAATATTTTAAGATAAATATAACCTGGATGATTTTTTTTTTTTTTGCAAGATTCATCCACAAAAACAGACATATTTATCTATTAGCTACCTGTAGCTAAGAAGCCAAGAGGTCAACTGTTCTCCTGTGGTCCAAGACTCCACCTCCAAAGTTAACCTTTCCTCTGAAAAATAAAAAAAGGTCAACATCAAATAAACACCATACTTTAATAAAACATTTATACTCCAACATATTAAGAATAATTGATTCTCCTGGAATGAACAGTGAAACTGGGAATCCAATATTTTTTGCTGATAATCAGGTACAGCTCATCAGCTCAGTTTTCTAAGAAAGCTACAGCCCTCACCATTGAAAGTTTTAACTTCCACCACCATCTTTCCTTTTCTCTGATTTGCTGTCCACTCGAGTTGATTCGGAGGGTGTCGTCTGCAGGCAGGGGAGGGGAGCTGGAGGGATGTGAGGAGCTTGTGCTGGCACAGAGAGCGATACTCCCCTGGACCTCGGTCGGACACATACCTGACAATCATAATAAATATTATTTTTAATTCTGAAGACAACCAATAGCTGTACAGAAACACTATCCGGCCTTATTTATCTATTGATCAATATGCAATTTAATAATCTGTATAGTTTATTTAGAAAATTAAAAATGGAATAATTGCCCAATGGCAATGTTATATCAGTCCACTCTCTTCCTGTTCTAAAGACCCCTCTTTTAAGTTTGTAATACTATAACTAAAGACGTACTTGAGCAGGGGTTTCTCCAAGGCAGGAGAGGGTGTGAAGGCACTCAGACAGCAGGCCAGGAGCAACCAGCCCCGCAGGGCACTCTCTTCATTATCCCCATCCCAAGTGCGGTACACCAGTTGTGCTAGAATCTCATCTCTGATGCTGGGCCGTAATTGGCTCTTCTCCACAATATAGTTCCCTAAGATCTGTTCCTGCCATCCTGTCAGATCAGAGTCACCTGTGAAACGCAGGATCTAAAGGAGAACGTAGATGAGGAAGGATTCATTCAAAATCCAAGATTTCATACCCAACATTTCAGTAAAAAAAAATGTTTTTTTTTTTCGAATTTCTGTTGTAAAATATCCATTTACGCAAAACACGTCACTATGTTTTTAGGTTCTGTACTGACCAGTTTGTAGATTTCTAGAGCTGTGCGGGCATCATCAGGATCCAGAGACGTCAGAGGCTTCTGAAGCGGAAAACCCTGCGGGTGGCACCATCCATCCTAATGGAAAGGAAAACAGATAACTGCTGTAAAAAATGGATGAAATCGATTCACAGGTATGGAAATTGCTTGTGAAGCGGAAGACCACAAAACTAGGTAGGACGTTTTTTAAGTTCTACCTTCAGGACTGTTTTGGCATATTGGGAGAAAGGGTGTCTGTCAATGTCTTGGGGCAATGAGAGGTTGTGGTCTGCTTTGACCTGTGGCAGAGCTACTTCTGTTGCTCCTGACCCTTGAGGACGTCCTGAAAGCCATCATTGTAAATGTGAATACAAATATGGGCACAGTTTTTACCCAAAGCAATACAATTACTTCATATGGGTCATATGACGTTGCTAAAAAGAACATTATTTGGTGTATTTGGTGTAATGCAATGTGTGGTTGCTGTTAATCAAAGTTACTTTGATGACAAAAAAAAAGTCCACTGTCTCTTGATTTTATCTGTCAATTTTGAAAAGCTAAGAAAAAAGTTCACATTTCACTTTTAAGCACTTTTACAAATAAATATGGAAACCCTTTTATAGTACTTTCACTCAAGTGTGTTTGACCTATTACTTAGATTTTTAAGTGAGTAAAATTACACAGTATTTTCATCATTGATAATAATAATAATAAATGTTTCTTGAGCAGCAAATCAGCACATTTTAATTTTTTCTTAAGGATCATGTGAAACTGAAGGCTGGAGTAATGATGCTGAAAATTCAGCTTTGCATCACAGTAATAAGTTACATTTTAAAATAGAAAACGGTTATTTTCAACTGTAATAATATTTCATAGTTGTACTGTTTTACTGTAATTGTGATTAAATAAAAGCAGCTTTGGTGAGCATTACAGACTTTTTTGAACTGTAGAGTTTTGTCAAATTTAAACAAAATCAGCTGCTGGTGAATTAAAAACACCGTTGAGGATCTTGAGTTCAGTTTAACAGTTTCACATGGCCAAACCATTGAAAAAAAATTGTGAACAAGTTGCTGTTAATCAAAGTTACTTTGATGACAAAAAAAAAGTCCACCGTCTCTTGATTTTATCTGTCAATTTTGAAAAGCTAAGAAAAAAGTTCCCATTTCACTTTTAAGCACTTTTACAAATAAATATGGAAACCCTTTTATAGTACTTTCACTCAAGTGTGTTTGACCTATTACTTAGATTTTTAATTGAGTAAAATTACACAGTATTTATACTTCAGTTTAAAGTGTAATCTCAGCACTTTTAATTGGTTATCAAGTATCAAGGAACTCACCTGCTGCACTGCGTAATCTGGCCGACAGGTCTGCCGGGATCTCCAATATTCCCACATCCTTCAGGTAAAATATAGTATTTCATTCTTTTGTGTTGTTCAAAATTAACGTTTAACTCTGAAGTGACCGGTTAAATTATGTCCAAGTCCATAAAAATCAGATGCTCAGAGACCTTGAGCACACAAGTCAAAACAAAAGAAAATAAAAAATCTATAAAAATGAAAAGATTCAGAGTGTCTCACCATCTCTGAAGAGGCAGATGTAGGTTTTGCTGCTTGCTTCACTCTTGTTCTATCAGTATGTTCCTGATCAAATCAAAATACAATCAAAAACACAATCTAACGTAAAAAAAAAAAAACTTTTTAAAAAATGATTAAAAAATCATTTGCATATTGTAGTGTTTCATTCCTTCTTGACTGAACCATTGGACATTTATTTTGTAAAGCTATTCCACTCATTTATTCTATTACCTGTCCACGGCATCGTATGCAAAAGTAAACAGGACTATTCTTAGCAGCTGGCCTTCTTTTATATCCTAGGAAGACCCTCCCTTGACTCGCTCCTCCCCAAACAAAAGAATTACATGAAATTTGAGTCACCAAACCCATTTTTTATCTTATCATTTAGTATTATCATTGTGTTTGATTGGCCTTTTCTGTTCTGTGTATCATTGTTGCCAGAAAACAGAGTGCAGAAAATAAGCCTATTGATTTTTACATACTGTAGAAACAAATCTGAGAGTATTCTGGAGTATGGCCACCAGATACCTGGTGTTTGCCTGTTCCAGTGAACTATTTTTATATTAAACAATTTAATTTTTCTTCTTTATTGGACAAGCAAAAATTTTTTATTCTTTATTGGACAAGCAAAAATACTATCATACAAAATATACACAAAGCTGTTAAACCCACTGAATGAGAATCACGTCACAAACCAGTCTTACCACAAATGCATAACAATTACTACAAAGTGATTTGACAGCAGAGTGAGGACATAGTCCAAACTGTATAGAACAATGAGGGGTAACAAGGAAACAGAACTGAAAGCAGCAGGTTATATAACTTAGTGGATCATTTAAATATAACTCACTACCAGTCAAAAGTTTAGACTGATTAAGTTTCTGATTAACATATTTTTGTTCATAAATATAAATTTGTATTTGAATGAATTTGTTTACAAAACTAACATTTTTATTCATATTCTTTTTAACAGACCTGAGGGAAAAGCAGTCATTAAATGTCCAGAAAAATAAATATACTTAAATGTATTTGAAATACATTTATTTCATGCTAAGTATACTACATACACATTTACATATTTATGTACTTAATAAAATACCCTGCAATTGTACGTTTAGTATACTAAACTGGTATACTTAAAGTCTGCTAAATTGGAACAACTAATTGTGTACTTAATGCACTTTAATTGTGCAGAAGTAGTGCTGAAGTCCAATTACTTAGTATATTTGATTGTGCTAAAGTGAAACTATTGCAAGTATACTTCAGGTACACTTTAAATATTTTGCATTTAAAGACCAATATTATTCAAAAATCATACAATCATCATCAAAAGTGACATTAAAACACATTTTAGACTTAATATTAAGAAATGTGCATTGTGTACAAGTAGTACCCCAAATAAAGTTTAATTATAATTTTTATATCAGTAAGTCTCAAGTTATCTGCCAGTAAATATGTTTATTATTATTATTATTATTATTGAGCAGAATGAAACAGATTAACAGCAACAACTTGATGTAATGACCTACACAACAGCTGAGAGCAGTGACAGATATATACACACATACAGGAGAAGAAAAGGAGAGAAGAAAAAAAAACATAAACGAACACATATGCTATAAATGTATGGATGTGGTCATTTAAACAGGTACAGAGGTAAGTGAATAGTTTCATGAATTGTAATAGTACTTAATATTATTAATCAAATTTCCTTGTGTTATTGTGGCAAAAGATGAGATTATAAATGCAACTGCACTATGTATTAAGTAGACATTTTAAATAGTAATAATATTATAATATAATATTATACAGCAAAAAGAGCAATAGATGTGATCATCAATATAATGAGCATTTAAACATATCCCATTAAAGTGTAGTTGAGTAACCTCAGAACAGTGTGCCATGAACAACCTTTAATGCAGGAACAGCTCTAATTTCATAGTCATTATATAGATGGAAACCGATCAAACATTCAATAATAGCACTGACAGATGATGGCCTACTTTTAAGATATGTCAGTAAATATGTTAATAGAGTTGAACTAAGTATGAAATAAATGTATTTTAGATATATTACTTTTTTACTAGGGCATACAAGGGAACCATTTAAAATCATCCCATGATGCACCTCATGAAGGCTGAGAGAGCGTCCAGAGTAACCATCTAGATTTTGAGGAATCTCGAAAACATTTGAACATGATTCCCATATTTCCATTTGTGTTATGTAATACTTTAAAAAACTTTAATATTATTCTACAATATTGAAAACAGTAATAATAAAGAATGTGTACGTATATCATTATAAGAATAACATTTTTTAAGTATAACACTTTTGACTGGTAGTGTAAATCCACCCCCCCCCAAAAAAGCCAGAACCTTTTAGAATTTAAAAGCTTTTTCTAACACATTACACCACATTCAACAAACCTTAAAGTCTTACATCAGTGTTTCCCAACCGGGGTGCCGTCTGTTGAGAGCAGGGGTGCCGTGTAAAAAATCTTTTTTTAAATATTTTGAAATTGCTAAAATGTTCATAAAAGCAGCTATTATATAATATCAATTTCTGATGTCGCCAACAATTACAGATGCACTGAAATTCCGGCTGCCGAAAATGAGTTCACCGCTCAGGATTCACTTTCACGTGGTGTGACGCTCTGCGTATTATCCCGCTCTATGCATGTGTGCGCTCCGCTCAGTCGCTCACGGCCCATGTAAAGGTTGGGAAACACTGTCTTACATAACTGATACAATCTATTTCTTATTTTCCGCCCTAATTTCTCTCTGTATCATTAATCTGTCTGTTTGCTATTAGCATGTGTAATATGGATAAATATTAAACACTACCTACCTAGGATGATATTAAAACAAACGTAGCCGTCCCCATGAAAAGTGCTCTTTAACTGATGAAATGAGTTGAAATCCAAACACAAGAGAAGTGGTGCTTAGGTGGGTCTTTGCAGGAATGAGAGAGAAAGGGCAGGCAGGCGGGCAGGTGGAGCTCACCTCACCTAACTCTGACATTTCTTACATGTGTACACACTCTTAAACAGCCCATGACGCACTAGAGAGACCAAACACGCCACATGAATCAGAGAATAAACATAACTGCATTAAAATTGATTTTTTTTTTTTGCATTGTGTATTGTTTTTTTTTTTTACAAGAAATTGATAACAAAAAATTTTTATGAAAACCACCATGCTTTTTATTTAATTTGAAATGAAATTGTATTTCGTTTTCTTATAGAGGTTGAATAATAGGAAACAATGGGTGCCATTTTTTTAGAGCCATAGATTGAATTTCACAATCTCATAAATTCACTCAGCACACAAACGGCCCAAAGTCCTTCCAAAGAGTAAAATATATTATAAGTCTCATGATTTCTGATGCAAGTTCACACTATGACCTTACATGTAATGTAAGGAAACAGTAATCAATATTCAGTGGCTTGTATGACTAACTTGAAAATGTATTTGACTGTCATTGCATTAGATAAAATATAAAAGCGTTTGGCATGAATTAATATAATGATTACTATAACAATCCATTATTTAGAATGGGAGGAGTGAGGCTGGAATTTATTGCTTCATATTAGCTTTCACATATTAATAACATGGCCTTAGTTACCTAGCAATGGACCATATAGGTAAACAGCTAATATAATGAAGTGTGAGAATTTATATATATGCAAATTAAGCCAAGAAGAAGCCACAGGCACACGGGGCAAAGGATTGAAAGAGCTAGATATAAGGGGAGAAATGAAAGCTCTCACCCTCCAATGACGTTTCTTGATGGTGTCTCTGGTGATCATCATAGCTGCCCTGAACTGAGTGAAGGCCTGCTTTAATTTCTTGTAGTACTTCCTGTAACAGAAAGAGTGCGCCACTGCTTCACATTCAGAATCACATTCGATTCTCTTCTGTTTTTATCATGCTCTCAAGGTTTATCAAATATGAAATCGCTGCACATACCGAGCCTGGTGGCCCCTGATGTGGGACTGAATGACGATAGCCTTCTGTTTAAAGAAACGGAAGTTTCTCCGGCAGATGAAGCCGCGAATGTTCCTCTGGATGGTGACTGCAGCCCATGTTTGGGTGCTACTCCATTTTTCCTCCACCCGCTGATACAGACTCTCCTTCATAAACACCTGTGTGTGTTCACATTAAAGGAAATCATTAGAGGGTGGGATCTTTAGTGTTAATGTAGTAAATGAATGAGTCAAATAACCCAGGCTGTGGTAAAGAGTTATGTTACTGTACTTTAGTGAGTCCTAGTTGGTACTGGCCTTCCTCTGCTCCTGTAGTCTCCAGTAAAGGCACTACTTGCTCTTTACAAGACTGGTGTGCAGGTCTCTGGGCCAATAATACACCATACCTGAAATTAGACATAAAAAGTGCTAGAAAAATGTGGTTGAAACTCAACTATAAAGATAGTGGAGATTTTATGATGTACTTATACTCAGGGTTCACACACAATTTTGACCAATGGAATTACATGAATTTTCCATGATTGTTAGTATAGGTGTGTGTGTGTGTGTATGTATATATATATATATATATATATATATATATGTATATGTGTGTGTGTATGCAATGCATCAATGCAAAGCTTATTTATTCAGCTTTCAGATAAGATTTAGAAAAATTGACCCTTATGACTGGTTTTGTGGTCCAGGGTCACACACACACACACACACACATATATATATATATATATATGTATATATGTATATATATATATTTTTTTATATATATTTTTTTTTTCTCCATGCACATTTTGACCAATGGAATTACATGAATTGTCCGTGATTTTTAGTGTGTGTGTGTGTGCATAAATAAATAAAAAAGGAGGACAATAAAATATCAATAAAAATTTATACATAAAAATAAAAATTTTATTTTCAGGCATGGAATAGATATAATTACAAACACACACGCACACGCATACAAACACACACACACACACACACTTATGAAAACAATGTATGATTGTTATACCACTAATAATGTATTTGAATGTCCTAGTTTCTGCTGTAGTGTGTTACCTCTCCATGAACAGAGCGAAATGAATGCAAATAGGAAATCCTTCTTTTCGTATGTGAATGGTCCCCAGTATCCCTCCATGCCTAAGCTGTGTGGTAATGTAATCTACATCAAATATGCCTGGAAGCTGAAACCACACAAAAACACCAAAGTGAGGTCCACCAATACATTTGTGCTTGCTTACTCTAAACATAATTGTTCACAACCAGAGAGACTATATGTAAATTACAAATAGTGTCAGCTGAAATTACCTTAACATAGTTTGGCTTAAAGCATCGTATAAATGTAGTTTTACACCTAAAAAAAAAACAGAATTAAATTATCTATACATATCTAGCCTACTATATACACCAAATGGCAATACCAAATGCCCTGTGTATAAAACACAAAGCAGTCCATTTATACAAAATATAGCAGAATAAAAAAACTGTGACATTTGTTGACCTCTCCAAACGAGTGGTGAGCTCTATAAGTGACTGCTGGAAATGAGCAGCTGTTGACATTTGGTTCCGGTAACCCCTTGCTCTTCCTAGCTCTTTCTGTTGGACGTAACGCTCTTGAACCTTCCGGAAGAGACCCGACACCATCTACACAGACAAGAAAACACACTCCAATTACTTGTTACAGGTATTTGTTACCAAACATTGGTCCTTCAAAACTTAATGAGACCTAAAGCTTGCATAAATGATATGGGTTGTTGCTAACTCTTTTGTTTTGTCTGGGTGTGTTGACAGTCTCATGAATATATAATAGTGGACACATTATTGTGTTTCTTTGCAATCTAGACACATCACAAATCACTGAGGAGAGTCTGAAGTGAGCTTCCATGAACATGAGATGAATTTATCTGTAAACGACTGCGGGCAAAAAGCTCTAATACTTCTGGGCGAAACTGGTCGTGATTTTTATTTAGAAAGTTGTGCACCTTGCAAGGGGAAAAAAATGTAATTTTAGCCAAAATGTTTGCCAAAAAAGTATTTTAGCCATGGAAATCAAACGATTCTTGGGTAAGCTGTCAGAACAATCATCTTTCATGAATAAAACATTTTGTGAACGCTCAGATCAGGCTTGCCTGGTACGTGACAGCCCCTGCATAGTGATATATTGTGAACACTGGCAGAGGAATTTTGGGCTTGGTGTAGTAGGGACTGTTGCCATGGTGATAGTGACATTTCTGCAAGAACATGTGGTCTGTAGCCTGGGACGAAAAAGAAGGAGAGAGCCAAAGAAAAGAGAAAGGCAAAAAAGACAAAGGCAGCCCATAAATCCATTGTAGTATAATTTGCATTTGAATCAACACTAGGTCATATTGGTGGAAATTCAAGTTTTATGATATTTAAACATCACATTAAAGTAGAAGAAGACTTCCAAATCCATAAATGAGCTGCAATATAAGATTATTCAAAAGAATGTTGACTTTAAATTCACTCAAATGTCTGGTTTAAAGCTGAAATGGGAAGTTACTTGAGGAAGGCAAGTCTGGTCATCCAGGATGCGAAGGATTTCACATGGCCGTGCTGAGATGAGATCCAGACAGCCATTAGAGTCTTCCAGAATTATTGGATACCACGAGGTCTGCTCTGCGCTGTATTCCTCCTAACAAAAAACACATAAAGCCAACCACTTGTTTTATTTATTTTTTCAGTCCCCTAAAGTATTAATTATTTCCAGGCCAAAAAAAAAACGTATCCGAGAAGCCACATTTATGGTATGGTATCTCAAGAATTACAATTGCTGGTCCCATTGGAATTGGAAGATATAGATTAATAAACATGTTCCCATCAAGTCCAAATGGTAAAGAGTCTCCTCAAGGTGTTAATATTTTCATAATAGGCCTCTACACTAGGAAAATTGTGAGAATAAATTGTCAATATGATGGCTGAGGACACACACTGACCTGCTCTTGGGCCACTAAGGCTTTGTTCACAAATTGTTGCAGCTGCTCATTGACAAAGTTTACACACAGCTGCTCGAAACTGTTCACACTCAGGTTCTGTAATGCACATTTGTTCAGTTCTCTCCCACAGACTTGCTATATTTAAAGAGGCTTAACAAGTGGGAATTCAGTGACACTTTGCGTAAATCAGTCATTCTTCAGACGTGGGACAAAACAGGTCCAGCAATGGTAACTGCTATTAGCTTTAAAAAATAAAAATATTTTCAATTTTAAATGTCATGAGGGATTAATAATAGAATGTATTTAACACAATTATCACCTTCAAATTAATTTTCTCATTATTATACCAAATCTGTGTTTCTTAATGTCCTCTCACTACATCTAAAACAGTGTGTCCACAGAGAAGGGTTCAATCATTCATATGCAATAAAATGGATAAAAATGTTTTTTTAATGATGAGCTTGTTTTATCAAAAGCAACACTTAATAATATCTCCTATCAAAGCAAGGTTGTTTTTTTAATGACACATCTATGTTTCATAAGATTTTAAAGTTGCGTCCCCACTTTTTGTCAACACTGTCAGACATTCAATAAAATGTAATAAAATCAGGGAATATCAGGGGCAGCTGTCACTCTAAAGGACCCCCTTGCCACAGTTCACCTCTGCAGAGTACATCAGTGTCAGACAGGCTCTGCTAAGTTTTAGAATATTTTAAATCCTAATGTTAATATTTCCTGTGTCACAGCCATGATATGTCAACACCATCTTCCAATTTCTGAGGAAATTATTTGAAATATTTAGATAATTTTATTCTCCTGAAGCAGGTTCCATTAGCATCTAGCATCAACAGAAAAAAAGAAAATGGCTACTACATGAACTCCATTGGTTTTGTGAAAGAAATGCCAAATTTGTCAACACCGTCAGATGTCACCACCATAAGATTTTGTGTTCCAATGATATATCAAAATACTTAAAT